TTTGGTACTGAACATTCATCCCAGGGCTGCTTAACCACTGAGCCACATCCCTAGCCATTTTTTATATTTTATTTAGAGACAGGGTGTCACTAAGTTGCTTATGGCCTAAGTTGCTGAAGTCGGCTTTGAACTCGTGATCCTCTTGGCTCAGCCTCCAGAGCTGCTGGGATTACAGGCGTGCGCCACCATGCCCCCTGGCTCACCTGAGTCTTTTAATACCCCTAGAACTAATATTTCAGAAGAGTCAACTGCATTATAGGTCTGTTCCATAGCCAAAGTATTTATTGAGTCAATGTTAACCTTGTCCTTATAAATAAAATCTAGGACTTTGTTTTTCTTGTGGGGTTTGGGGGTTTCTGTGGGTGTTCCCAGCTAGATCATCCAGTCAACAGCATCTAAGCAGGAAAACATAAGGGATCAACTGGTAGCCATCTGTGTTCCTTTTGTATTTCCAAACTACACTTGCACACCCATCATTTGCTTTTGTCCAGTCAACATTTCTGTGGGGTATTTAACTAGAAGAGGTTAACTGACTCACAAGGTCACATGGCACATGAGTCAGGCTGAGGAGGCCTTTTCTTCTATATTCCTCGGCTTTCGTCCCTGACCCCAACACTTTCCCTGTTACCCATCTTGAAGGGAGATAGTTCTCCCTGACCACAATCTGGGAGACGCTCTCTAGAACCTTAGACCTTGTTCTTGCTGAGCCACACATTGGCAAGTTCTGATGGGGAGCTGAGGGGCTCCAGGGCTGCAGACATCCAGTGTACCCAAGGGGAGAGAGTTGCGTAAACCAGATCTGCTTCCTCTTCCCAGAGGCAATCTGATACAATTTGCGGCTAAGAGTCATCACTGTGAGAGATGAATCGAGGGGAGAGCAGCAATCGAGGGGAGGCCAGGAAGCCTCAGGCTGGAGACAAGGTAGCCTTGTCAGTGAGTCCTAGTCACAGATGACAGCTGGCTTCTAGGAGATGTGAGCCTGTCTTCTCTAGAGCTAATCCAGGATAGGGCACTCCAGTGCTATTTTTCAGAGGAATGACACCAAGTTTACCGCTACTTTCCTTCCCTTTGGAGACAAGGCTGCTAGAGGGTTAAACGGTCAGATTTGAAACCTAAATAAAAAGAGCATTTTTTTTCTCTACTAGAAAAATTCATTAAATAATTGCTGAGTGCTAAGTTCTAGGCATTTACTTGAAGATGAAAGGGCAATCTCTATTCTCAAGGTGTTTACAGTCTAGTCGGAAGGTAAGCTGACACACAAAAATTGGACATGAAAAAGAATGTGGTTAAGTATCATAAAGAGAGGATTAGACTCTGGCTTAATGAAGGCAAAGCAGAGTGGGGCACTGGGGAGGCCATCTATCTTGAAAGGTGCCTGGAATTAAATTTGGAAGACTAATGCATGACAAATGCCTATGATTCTAGGCCACAGCAGTTTCCATGGCTGCAACCTTCCTTCCTTATCTAGGACAATGATAATAATAATACTAATGACCTTTCTCGGGTACTTATCACTTCATGTTATCACTAGAGGTGGGTATTCTTATCATTTTGTTTTATAGCTGAGGAAATTGGGCCCTTAAGAGGTTAATAAACTTACCCCAAAGTCAAGCAGCCAGAGAAAGTTAGAGATGAGATGCAAACCCAACTAAAATCTATAATTAACAGCTGTCTTCCAAAGTGAAAAACCCTCCCCAAAGATTCTAGGATGTTTTCTGTTTGTTTCAGGAAAGAAGCATCTTGCCACTACACACTGTCCTGTGGCGCAGTCCAAATCCTGGTGGCTTCTCTCTCTGGTGTCGGGTTCCTAGGCTCTACAACTCCTTGGGAGGGGCCAAGATCAATAAACTCCAGCAGAGCATGGTGGCACACACCTGTTATCCCAACTACTGGGTGGCTGAAGCAGGAGGATTGAAAATTTGAAGCCAAACTGGGCCATTTAGCAAGATTCCATCTCAAAAAAAAAAAAAAAAAATAGTAAGGGCTGGCAATATAGCCCAGTGGTAGAGTACCTCTGGGTTCAACCCCCAGGACCAAACAAAACAAAAATAAAAAACAAAACAAACAAAAATTCCAGGCAGGAGCAGGCAAGACTGGGAGAGGAAACACCACCGATCTTAGAGCTCTGGAGACTCAGGGGAAAGTTCCTTGGAAACCAACACCCAAACCATATCTGAGATGATCTCTAAATCAAATGTTTTGGCCTTAGCCTTGGTCCTGAGCCCATCTGGACTCCAGGGATTGTCCTCACCCTCACAGGTATGGGGACTAAAAAGAGATTAGTCTGTGTCCACCTGCCTGTGGTGCTCAAGCTTCCCTTCAGTGATCATAAGCTGTTAATCCTGACAGAGGCCCTGGAGATGACACAGGCCAGTCCCTTCAATCTATACTTTACACATTTACAATGGTTAATGGGCAGAGCTTCGAGGATGTTTTCTCTTTGTTTCAGGAAAGAAGCATCTTGCCACTGAACACTGGCTTAAGAGTTATTTCCCTTAAAACACAAAAAGAATCTTCCGACCATTGTGCAGGTACTTTGAGAATCTCCATCAAGCCTCACTTTTTATATTTGAATCTGTCTGCAGGGCTCCCTTTGGTGGGTGAGCATGAGGTTAGGTAGGGGTGTAGAGAGCAAAATAATGCATTTCTCTAATGCAGAGAACAGAGACTGCTGCTGCTGACCTGTCCTTCTGCTTTTGGATCCGGTACACCCAGTGTCTGCCATGTTCAAGGCCAGCAGCCATCCGTTTGGTCTGCCAAGTTATTGGTCTGACCCGCTGGCAGTCAGAGCTAAGCTAATCCTTTCACCTGCTGGCTGCTTATCTGGGACACATGATTTGTGGAGAGGGGACTGACAGAAGGAGCCAGGACTTTCCCTCTCAGAGCCCCTGCAGATGAGGGTGACAGCATCAATATGCCAAACCTGCTCCAGAATCGCATGCTCTTACTGTCCATTTGGAACAACAAGCATCTGTGCTCGGTGGTTGCCACGGGGCAATGAGCAGAGGACAGACCGGGAAGGCCTGCAGAAAGTAGAAGAGGACACTCTAGGAGGTCGCCAGACCTGCTCACACACATTGCTTACCCTCTTCTGGGATCCTTAAGCCACCTATGCAACCCAGTTCCTGGACTCCCTCCTCCCACTACCCTTTTCTAGCAACCAAACCCCTGATCTGGAGAACATGGTAGGTTCCCATAGCAATGGGCCTTTTAGCTGTTTCCATGGAAACCAACACCCAGACCATTTAGTTGCTAGTCAATTGACAGCTATAAGTGAATCGGATTCAGTTTAGAAACTGAAAGACAGGCCAGGATATTCTCTCCAGAGAAAAAGATAGCCACCTAAAATGGCCCAACTCCTCTAAAGACTTTTAGGCAACATGGGTGGAGATCCAGAGCCACTTTCTACCTTGGGTCACACAACACTGTCCTCCAGTCAACATTCCCAGCAAACAACTCAACTGAGTATCCCAGGCCTTTGAGTAAGGCACACCCTGACTTCTATTCCTGGTTGTCTGCTTCTGAGAAGGCCCTTGGTAAATGAATGTGACTCTCACCTTGATGACTTTTGTACACCCAACTCCCCGTGCCAGCACTCTTCTATGTGCCATGACTGTCCTCATACCAACCTAGTCCTTGAAGCATTCTTTGCTTTTTGGATTATCTGCAGTGAATGGTTAATCCAACATCATTTTAAGTGGAACTATTTCAGGTCACCTTTCCTATGCCTGCGGGTGTTTTTTTGAGACCAGTCTGTTTTATCACCTTTGCAAAGCATAATCATAAGACTGTTTCTTTAAAAAAAAAAAAAGGAAAGGACAAAAGAAAAATCAACTGCCATTTCAAAACCAAGTATGCAGCATTTGAAATGATTCCATGCTTGTTGCTTTTACTAGCATGAAGATCGGGCTAGATACCAGCACTCACATTTGACCTTCTCCCAAACTGGGGATCTGAGGTGTTACACTGTGTGTTCCCTTTATTCTATAAGCAGAGGTGCTTCTCGTTTTTTCTTTGCATACTTAAGATTCAGTGCTTCCCAGTGTTAACCACTGTGAACTTTCTGTTGTAGGAGACCTTTCAAACTAATCCCCCCACAGGACCCAACCTAACCCACAGTTGCAGGATCTGCAGAGCCTCCTGATGGCTGATGGGTAAATAGACCCAGCTGTTGGGTTCCCCTTCTCAGGGAAGAGTGCATTATACTAGCTGAGCTGCTTTTGTCCTTTTTTTAAAACACACGAGGGCAGGTAGCTGCTAACCTCAAAGAAGCTAAAAAGCATGAGGAATCTTCTGGGAATAGGGAGTCAGCAAACATGCATAAAAACTGAGTTTTTCTGAGTCCCCGAGGAAGTTCCTGTGCACAGAAGCTAGCCTCACTCCTAAGGAGACATCACACACATCAGACTGAACCTCCTGATTTTCCTGCTATTTCCAGACAAAGAACAGTGTCTGTCTCCTACAACAAAAGCTAACTTTGACAACAAGTATAATACATGCCATGGGTCATCTAAGCGTTTCACATGCCTCATTTCATTTAATCCTTTCAGCCCTCCCCTCCTATCATTATCCCTACTTAACAGATAAGGAAACTGAAACACAGAGAGATGAAGGGATTGAAAGCTCTCATTTGTAGTCCTATGAATTAAATGGTGGAGCCAGATTCAACCACAGGTAGTTTGAAGCCAGAGACCACAGCACTTAACCACCTTTGGGATTCACACAATTCTGATACGTTTGGGGTCTGCATTGGGAGACAAGGTGGGCTGTTCCTCTAGACTCAGTGGGATAGGATATATGAAAGATGGCTTAAATGGTACTGTGGTTGAACGGCTGCCAGCATTAACTAGCAAACTTGGGTGTTGATAACTTCATTCCTGACCCATTGCTGTCCCCTGGTGGTTTATCCTGGGAAACTCACAGGCCAAAGAAATTCAAGGGTCTATGAACTTATGGGCATAATAAGAACTGGACCAAAATGAATTATCTGCTCATAAACATTTTGTCAGAACTCAACTGAGAAAAGAGTTATTTTTATTTAACAATGGATGACTTGGGGCTGGGGATGTAGCTCAAGCGGTAGCGTGCTCGCCTGGCATGCGTGTGGCCCGGGTTCAATCCTCTACACCACATACAAACAAAGATGTTGTATCCGCCGAAAAAACTGAAAAATAAATATTAAAAATTCTCTCTTAAAAAAAAAAACAATGGATGACTTTCCAAGGTGCTCATTACTCAACTCAGTTATGAATATCGTGATAACCCCGGTCCCACCTAAAAGCTCACAGTATGTGGATTTGAAATGGCAAACTATGCACCCCATAATTATACTTTTTACCTTGAGAGCAGAAAACTCCAAACTTTAGCTAATTTGACCAGTACCTGCTTCAACTTCACATTTTATTTGTAATCTCTGAGGCTTTCTCCATCATGGTGGATGGTTCCCAAAAGATCACCATGCCTCACCCTTTAAGGTGTTATTATTCAACTAGGTGATGTTTGCTTTCACTGTTTCTATCAAGCATACTCTGTGGTCTAAGATTGTGCAAAATAAAGTGAAACAAGGTCACTTTGTATCAAAAGATAGATGAGGTCTAACTGGGCAAAAGGAGGAAAGAGAGTCTCTCAGGGACATGGAACTGGGTACCCACCTCCCACAGGTCTGGGGAATGCACTATGTGTAAGAAGCACATGACCACAGCCCAAATGCAGAAGACAAGACTGACAAGTTTTTATTTATACGAAGGTTCATTTCCAGGTTCAGAAAGAGGATACAAGTTAATATTGTTAAAAAAAAAAAAAAAAAAAAGAATCAAATATCTGGTAACCAACTGTTGCCTTTAACGAAAACCACCTAAGACAGAACAAAAGACATGAGATAACCACAGAGAACCAGTTATCCACAGCTGACTTTCTGCTGTAGAACATGACATCTCCTATGAATCTCTGGATATCAGTAGAGAACAGATCACTACTGTTGAGGCAATGGAGGTGGAGGTGCTGTTCAGAGCCAGCAGATTTCTTGTTCAGATGCACCAGACTCAGTGAGGCACTTATAGAGGAGGAACCTGTAGATGTAACATCCCAGTTAGACAGAAGTGGTTTGGAAGCCCAGTAGCCCTAGGGAAGGTATCTGATAGCCCTAAGCAACTTCCTTTGTTCTGTCAGGTTGGGCCCACCTTATTCCAACAGCAAAAAACAATGGAGACAGTTAAACCAAACCCTACAGTTTCACTTCACTTTCTCTTCTTTCCTTCCACCTTTTTACAAAGGATATTACAAAGGTACCAGTTCTAAGAAACAGGGCCTCAGATGCTTTTGGAAGTTGAGAGGCATAATTTCCTTTCATGATGAATTTCCTTTCATCTTATGGCACTCATGCAGTTTCAGGTTGGATTTCTTCCCCTCCCTCCACCCATGCCCTCTCACCTCCACATAGACAAATCAGCATCAAATAGCTCTAGCTTTTGATCTGTATTGGGATTTCCCAGCAGAAGAAGGAATTTTGTCTGTCATCCACAAGTTGCCACTTTACTACCAGTTTTATCTGGAAAAAGAGAAAATGAATTGGGAAAAATGAAATGAGGACTTGACCTTAATCCATAAGTGGCTTAATTATGTAGCCTAAATAGAAATTATAAAAAACAACCACCTAATTCCTCATAGTTTTCTTCTTAAATCATGCCATTAGGAAGCCCACTTAGGAAATGGGCACCAACTGTGGCTTAAACTTAGAGGAATGAACCAAGTTATGCCTATGATTTGGTGTTAACAATAGCCATTCTAAAAGTCAATCTATCAAATATAATTTCTAAAGCATTCTTGTCCCTCTTAGATCAATGACATTTACATAAAGCCTTCTGGGAATAATAATTTTACATTTAATATTTGGCAGTCTAATCTAACCTTCTCCAATAGTAATTTTTTTTTTTTTTTTTTGGTTGTAGATGGACACAATACCTTTATTTTATTTATTTATTTATTTTTATGTGGTGCTGAGGATCGAACCCAGTGCCTCACATGTGCTAGGTAAGCACTCTACCATTGAGCCACAACCCCAGCCCTCCAATAGTAATCTTAAGGAACAGAAAGATTCTTAGGTATAAGGCAACTTTCTTGTTAACCAGAAATATGTCAAAGCACAAAAGATGGCCCAAAGACTTTTTATTTTGGTGCCAGGGATGGAACTCAGGGTACTCAACCCCTGAGCCACACTCCCAGCCCTGTTTCTTCCAATTCTTAACTCACCGACACCCGCAGGTCCTTTCTTATGTAGACATCAGCTCACTTGTCATTAGTTACTACCTCTCTTTTGTACTCAAAGGTTTCTTCACCATGCAATATTTGATTGACAAGGATAAAAGCTTTTGGAAACTTGCTTTGTAAGTTTTTTATGACTATATGCATGAACTACTGCTTCACTTACTTAGTATTGACTAATGCAGTTTGAGCTAATTTTCAAATTAAATGTAATTCATTTAAGAGTGACTTAAATCAAGTGACTATCAAATGTTAAATACCTACCCTGCGTGCAGCCCTGACTAGACACTGTACATAACTGGGGTTTGGAAGGTCCCAGGATCACATGGCCTACTCTGCTATTTTACAAACCTGTCTCTGACCTTCAGGGTTGCTAACATCCCTTAAGCATAGATTCCCTATATGTGAATCTCTTTATATATTGGGGGTTGAACCCAGGGGCACTCTACCACTGAACTACATCTCCAGTCCTTGTTATTTTTTATTTTGAGACAGGGTCTTGCTAAATTGCCTAGGCTGGCCTTGAACTTGTGATCCCTCTTGCCTCAGCCTCCCAAGTCACTGGGATTACAATTATGCACCACCACACCCAGCTATGAGTCATACCTTTAAACAGGCTCACCCCGGCACCATCTACTCAGAAGTGCTTGGCAGAAAACATAGGTAAGCAGGGATGGGTCAGAGGTATAGGTAGAGGTAAGAAGAGAGGGTGCAATAAGTTACCTCTCTGCTATAGAGCTAACAAACTGTATTGTTCTCTTGTTAAGAGATTGAAGGAAAAATCAGGATTTTCTGATGACAATGCTAAGTCAACTCGGACCTTGAACTATCTGGTACCTCATTGAAATGTTTTAACATTGCACAGGCTTGGGAGTTACAAGACTCAGCTTTAAACTTAGGCTATTCTTATAGCCACTAACTATATAACATCAAAGGCTCAGACTTCTTTGTCTCTGAGACAGAGCTGATATCACCTCCACACAGGTTGTTCATGATATCAAGTAAAATACTATATGTAAAAATGATGTCATTAGGTCCAGTGAAAGAACAAAGGCACATAAAACTATCTGCCCTTCTTCATGATTCTAACATTCAAATCTTTCTCCTCTCCCTTAAGTCTCCTGCTTCTTCATCATAGAGATGAGGTGCCCTGTTCCCCAATCTTTGATTTCTAGTCCCCTGTCCTCAGGTTTCTAATCCTGTCCCAAGGTCCCCAAAGTCCTCAACAGTGTCACTTACAGAGGGGTATTCAGTCTTTACTGGCAGTTTATTCATGTAGCTATAGGTCTTGTCTTTTTGGATGGGGCAGTTGATTCCACTCTTACAACCATCAGACTCAGGAATGGGAAAGGGGACTGGCACACCCATCAGGATGCCTTCCACGAAGGCTGTGCTATTTTCAGATTCTGTACCTACGAGGAAAAAGAATCAGAAGGTGAAGAAAATAGCCTATCTAAAAACTCTAAATCAAATCTTCAGATAGGTTCTCAAGCAAATCAGCAGGTCCACATTTCATAATTCCCAGGTACTTCTCCTCACAGTTATGCTCAGTACCTAGCACCATGCAATCAATCAACAGGGGCTGCTTTTTTTTTTTTTTTTTGGCGGTGGGAGACCAGGAATTGAACCCAGGTCTCTTGTATATTAAGCAAGCACTCTACCACTGAGCTTTATCCCTGCTCCCCCCGCCCCCCACACTTTTAAACTTTTCTTTTAAAAAATATATTTATTTAGTTGTAGATGAACACACAGTATCTTTATTTATTTTTATGTGGTGCTGAGGATTGAACCCAGTGCCCTACATATGCGAGGCAAGCACTTTACCACTGAGCTACAAACCCAGCCCCTTAAACTTTTCATTTTATGGAGAGTCTTGCTAAGCTGCCCAGGCTGGCCCTGAACTTGTGATCCTCCGGCTTCAGGCTCTTGAGTAGCTGGGATTGTAGGGATACCCAGCCTGCCAGGCAACAGGAGCTGTTTTCTCTCTCCTAACCCCACCTTGCTCTCCACTGCCTTTCATAGTTTCTCAGGAGAACAGAGCTACCTGGAGAAATAAGCTTACCTGAGAAGGCAACTACTTTTCGGCAGTAAATTTTAGTAATTACTAGTTACATGAGTTTCTGTAAAAGTATATTGTATATAAATATATTTTAATACCATGATCTGTTACAACATGAAATCGTTAACTTTTTAGATATTAGGTAAGATTAAAAAGAGGTACATTTCTTGGTAGCCTCTACCCTCCATATGATAGAATGGGCAGAAGGAATAAAGGTATTATGAAGTTAATCAAGAGTCATGAGCTGATAGGTATTTTGGAGATTTAGAGTAATGGCTGTTTCATTCTTTCTGCCTGGATTGGGAGGACTTATGTTTAGAAGGCATTTCTTTCATTTCTTTATTTTTGGGTTAAACCCAGGAGTACTTAACTACTGAGTCACATCCCAGCCCTTTCTGTATTTTATTTAGAGATAGGTTCTCACTGAGTTGCTTAGGGCCTTGCTAAATTGCCAAGGCTGGCTTTGAACTTGTAATCTTCCTTCCTCCTGAGCCCCTGGGATTATAGATGTGCACCATTGCGCCTGACTTTTTTATTTATTAATAATTGAGGGGCCATGGTACAGTGCAAGAGAGAGAACAGGGAGCTCACAGTTAGAGCAGTCTGTAGGCTCATGGAAAAGACATGACAGGCACTTTGAGTTTTCTTATTGACTGTCTAGTCAAGTTCCATGGCACAGAAATGAGAGACAGATTCAAGGTAGATACTCTATCCAGAAATAAACATTTTACATTTCTTCTTTCTGGCAATCTGAATGTGATGAACATGGTACATGACAATAACCCAATACTGCTTCTTCACATTGAAGAAGATGGCTCAGAAGTGGTTTGTGTGTCCCAGTGGATTCTCTAAACCTTACAGAGGCTACTAAGTATTAATTGTACCTTCATTTTCAGTTGGATGCAGGCTTAATGGCTAAAAGGTAGGGTGCTTGAAATAACATTCTGGGGAAGTTACAAAGTTTACAGTATTGGAATCTGTACTAAAGTTACAGTCTGTAGCTATAAAATCCTGCTGTGCAATATGGGCCAAGGTAGGAGAGAGAAAAGTCATGCTGTCTTTTCTAACCCGTGAACACAGGAAAATCACCCTCCAGGCTTAGAGGGAGTCTGGGAGCCAGGGGCTCTTAGAAAGGGGCATATGGGAAGTTGGTACAAGAAGGGTATCTAAGGGAATAGTGAATCCAGCTTTGCACAAACTGGAAGGGAGGTCACAGAATTCCTGACTACCAACCCTCCACCCCTATGTTCCCATGTTGATTCCAATACCTGATGTTTATGCTATGCTTTAGCATAAATTTAAGGTCAAACCATGTTTACTCACTGCTAGTGAAGGTGACATTGACACTGTAGGACTGTCCTTTCTTCAGTTCACAGGGCTGGTTGGGGCATGGGTTCACATTTACCTCTTTTATAACTCCAACTCTAGAACCTGGGAAAAAAGAAAAAAACTTATTGAAATAGGTGGAAATATTGACCACTACCTAACGGAAAGGTCGCTGTCTCCCGTTTAGTGAGTGCCTGTTCTTTTTTGATGCTTTCCTAGTATGGATTCTTTCAATTAAAAATGAGAATTTGGTTTGTCTTGCTGCTAAAACCATATCCTATAAATTGGACAAAAAGGAAGTCAGTTGGTCTCTTGACAAAGAGAAAGATAATATTTGTTAGAAACCATGCACACAAAAGATTATATTAAAGAGATTAAACTACAATCAAAGAAACTCCAAATGCTTCCAGATTCTTATTTTGCATTCCAAATGGTAAGGGGGCGGGTTACAATTTAAACTTAAGCCTTGAAAATGTTTGCCTCACAGGAAGATTAAAATTTAAGGCCAATCTGGACAACTTAACAAGTTCCCTTCTCAAATATAAATTTAAAAAGGGCTGGAGATGTAGCTCAGTAGTAGAATACCTCTGGGTTCAATCCCCAGTACCAAAAAACAAAAAAGTTGCCCCAATCTTCCTTTAATAAAAATATTCCTATTTCCCCTTTCTAGCAAAGATGTAAGTATGTAAATTTGATGAAAGTTGTTCAAAAACTGTACCTTATGTAAAAATAGCTAAAAGGTTGTTTTTCCTCCAAGGAGGAAGCTCAGAAATGAGTCACATCAGCCAGTGTGGTAGCATGTGCCTGTAATCCCAGTTACTTGGGAGGCTGAGGATGATCATAAGCTTGAGGCCAGTCTCAGCAACTTAGTGAGGCCCTGTCTCAAAATTTAAAAAAAGGGCTAGGGATGAAGTTCAGAGGTAGAGTGCCCCTGTCTTCAACCCTCGGTACTGCAAAACAAACAAAAAAGAGTTATATCATCTTTCTATCCCAAATTCTTCAAGAGCAAATTCTGTTTTAAGGTGCTTATTATTTGTTGGGAAGTCTGCCAGAACTCAGAAAAGATAGAACCTCTTTAGAGTTCCAGGCTCCAGGGGTTCTTAGCTCTTGAGTCATTCTATGTTTAGAATAAAGATTATATCATGGGTGGCAAGAACGAGAGAAAGCTGAGGCCCCTGAGGATAAGGAAAAAAATAAAAATAACAGCACAATGACTTTACCATCCTTGTTTTAGAGGTTAGAAAACAGAAGAGCAGAAGGATTACTGTGACTTCTCCAAGGTCACACTGCCTAGAATGAACAGGTCTAAGACTTGGAAGCCCTGTCATGGAACCTGGAGGAAGGTTTACATACACAGCCATGGTGACAAATGAAAGGACACACTAAGGAATTCAGACTGAGAACTCTCTGAGGAACCTGGATGAAGATCCTGGCTCAAACTCAACCAAAAAAACCTTGTTAGGTTTCCTTCACCTCATGATTATTCTCTTTTTGTCTTAGAGGTTCAACCCCATATCCTTTGTGATTTTCAGTGATGAAGAAACTTCTGTCCAGATTTTATAGCCTTTCCTTAAACTCCTGGTGAACCATTTGGTAAACCTAGTATCCTATCTTCTTGAAATCTCTTCATTTTTTTTCACCTCAGCCTGGCTTCCTAAAGAAACAAAGGATTACTACTAAAGGTATGGGTAAAACAATGAAATGTGTCAGAATGTCCAGTCTTGGCTTTTTAAATTTGATCCTGAAGCCCACCCACTTGCAAGTGGACTAAGAAATTTAAGAAGAATGACCATCTTAACCCTGCAAAGAGGAATGACCCTAGAAAGAATTACCTTCCATCTTGAGAGGAAATGACTCTTGAGAGAAGTTATTTCCATTTCTGAACTGCGAACTGCACTCTTTCCATAGTACTGGATTCTGTTGTCTTCCATGGGGAAGAAACCTGAGTCCTGCTCTATAAGTCATGAGATATTTTGGCTCAAAAAATAATAGGCAGTGCCTCAAATCTTGACTAAGTCATTAGGACCTTGATTTTTTTTTTCAAGAATCAAAGAGATACAGAGGACAGAGGTCAAGGTTTTTATAGCTCCAATAAAACTTAGGACCCAAATTTAACTTCACTCCAGATAGGGCTGTTTCACACAGTCAAGATGACAGAAATATCAGTTGTGTTAAACAAGAACATGGAGTCTAGGTTTCCTTTCCTTTAAAGTACTTACTTGGCCTATGTCTATATAACTAAATGATATGCTTACAAACACTATATGTGTTTTAAAAATAAGGCAGTGCAGGAAGATGCGAGGAAGAGTCATCAATAGAATTAATCTGACCTGGGGCTGGGGATGTGGCTCAAGCCTTAGCACACTCGCCTGGCATGCGTGCGGCCTGGATTCGATCCTCAGCACCACATACAAAGAAGGATGTTGTGTCTGCCAAATACTAAAAAATAAATATTAAAATTCTCTCTCTCTCTCACTCTCTCTTTGAAAAAAAAAAAAAAAGAATTAATCTGACCTGCCAGTTTCAAAAATTGATTATGCAGTTTCAAAAATTAATGATTCACAAATTAGGTTTAAAAGGAGTTAGCTAAAAGAAGAGAATAAGATACTAAGGAATAGCTAATATTCTCTATAAGTCTCTGAACTATCTCTCCCTAAAAGGAGTTACAAACTGTTCCTATTTGATAGAAGCAAATTATGTAGTATATAGAGTAAGCAAGCCCTCCAGCTCCCACTTTAGATCCTGGGGTGGCGGTATCAGGAAACTCCTTCCATCTTAAAACAGGTCTGTAAAGCAGCACACAAGGGCCACCAGGATGACTTAAGTTGTAGTACTATTATTTCCATTTGCAATCCCGATACCAGCTGCTCCCAATTTGTCCCTATCCCTCCCATCATCTTTTAGTTATGCTCTGGTGTCTTTCTAAAAAATCAGTGGTCCCTAAAGTGTACCTGAGGCAGGGAGTGTGTCTTTTTTTTTTCTTTCTTTTAATCTCATTCTAATCAACGACAAATGTGCTCTTTGTACATAATAAATACTACACACACACACACACACACACACACACGTTTGTCTTTTTTTTGCGGGGGGTTACTGGGGATTAAACCAAGGGGTGCTTAAATGCTGAACCACATCCTCAGCCCTTTTTTATATTTTATTTAGAGATGGGTTCTCCCCAAGTTATTTAGGGCCTTGTTAATTTGCTGAGACTGGCTTTGGACTTGCAGTTCTCCTGCCTCAGCCTCCCAAGAGCCACTGGGATTACAAGTGTGTGCAACCACCTGCACCGGGTAAGTACAAATTTTGAAAAACAATCCCATTTCCCTATCTAGGCCCCTAAAACTGGATAATTGAATGGAAGAGAATGTTGAGTAAGGAGTCTGGTTAACAGTAACAGTTTAGGTCAAGTGTTGCCATTTAGCCATCATTGCTGAGAGGCAGATTCTGGAGCCTGCTGCTCGGGTATGAAATCTCACCAGCTCCATCACTTACCATGTAACTTCAGGGCAATACAGTTAACATCTGAAGATAATAATCATACCTGCCTTAGAGGGTAGGTGAGTTAACACATATGCATGCAGCTTTTAGATGAGTATCTGGAACACTGTAGTGCCATTTAAGTCTTTATTATGCTTATCATATTTGGATTTGATCCCTTAATTTAATCTAAATAGCTATTCCTGGATGGCTTCGTTTGACACCAAAGCTGAGTCTCCAACCTCAAATACACTTCATGGACAGAAATTATGTTTGTAGTCAACAGAATGGAGTCTTACTGTCTTAAAAGCAGAATGCATGAAAACAGCAGGCAAATTGCAAGTTGAGAGTACACTTGGCGCAGTCACCAAATCAGCTTAATACTATAAAAGTGGGACATGAATTGAGAAGCCCAAGTGGATGCACTTTGCTTTCTCTGTGCTTGCCCTTGGTGGAAGAGTCTTTTTAAAGCAGACTCTTCCAATCAAAAAAAAAATGAAGTTATATTGACCAACTGCAACAGCAAGGATGGAAATAACACTTATTCCTCAGCTTGCTTCTCCTTTATAGCAAAGTTATTTTTTTGGGGGGGTGGTACTAGGGATTGAACCCAGAGGCAATTTACCATTGAGCCACATACCCAGCCCTTTTAAAGTTTTTTTCTTTCTTTCTTTCTTTTTTTTTTTTAATTTTGAGACAGAGTCTCTGGCTAAGTTGGTTAGGACCTTGCTAAATTGCTGAAGTTGGCCTCAAATTTGTGATCCTTCTGCCTTTGCCTTCCCATTCACTGGGATTACAGATGAGCACCACCATACCCCACTTATAGTAAACTTCTTAAACTGAACATATTCAGCACCCTAAATAATGTGAGATGTACCCTCTTTCACTTCATCCCACCTTCTGTAGACAGAAAATAAACAAAAATCCCTGAACTTTAACAATCTGTTGATCTCAGCACCTACATTAAGGCTTTCGATGTCTATAGTCTACCTGATTCTTTAAAGGTGAGGTCACATGATCTAGTAGGATCAAAGTAAAAAGTTGTACTTGTAACTCTTTCATCCATTTTTTTTCCCCTTACAAGAACAAGAGCTTCTTGAACTTCCAGGGTCAATAGAACAAACTGAGCTCTAACTTGCAAACATTACAAAACCAAAGTTTGCTTAGTTCTATTTCTCACTTGAGGAAATCCCACCCCAGGGGAAAGTGGGTGGAAAGTGGAATGCAAAATCTTTTGATGTGGTTGCTGAAGTTTTTACATTATATTTGTCAATTCAAAAGTAAATTGAGAAAGGAGGAGAAGGCAGGGGATATGGGGTTAAGAAAGATAGTAGAATGAAACAGACATTCTTACTGTATGACCAATGTGATTCTATAATATGTATACTCAGAAAAATGAGAAATGATATCCCATCTATGTATGATATATCAATGTATATAAGTGCATTATACTGTCATGTATAACTAATTAAAACAAATTAAAAATTAAAAAAATAAAATAAAAGGGAAAAAAACCTGATATAGCAATCAATATACATTTCTGTAATATTTTGGTGTAATTTTTCTAAAGAGATTCAATAATATGAATATTTCTAAATTGTAATTCACTGATCACATTACAGTCTGTGTTCAAATTAGTCATAACTAATAAAAATCATGCTAGCTGGCTTATTAATTATGAAAAAAAAAGTATATTGAAAAGCTGTGATGGGAATCCTACTTCTCTTTAAGAAGTTCTTCCTATAGGTGTTTACCTGTTTGTTTTTTCCCCAAGTGAATAGAATAATTTCCAGATTTATTTCACTTCTTTTTTAATGTTACTATTTAAATCTAAAGTGGGTCACAAAGACCCACCTCTTTCCTACTGCTTACTAGTTGTGAGATCTTTTTTTTTTTTTTTTTTTTTTGAGAGAGAGAGAGAATTTTTTTTTTTAATATTTATTTTTTAGTTTTTCGGTGGACACAACTTCTTTGTTTGTATGTGGTGCTGAGGATCGAACCCGGGCCGCACGCATGCCAGGCGAGTGTGCTACCACTTGAGCCACATCCCCAGCCCCTAGTTGTAAAATCTTAAGCAAGGTATTCTATGTTTCTTAGTTTCCTCTTCTGTAAAACAGACTGTGAGGACCGAATGCATTATTAAAATTAAAATTAATAGAGTCCAGCGGTGTAGTGGCACAAGTCTATAATCCTGGAGACTTGTTAGGTTGTGACAGGGGGACTGAAAGTTAGAGGCCAACCTGAAAAATTGAGCGAGACCCTGTCTCAAAAAAAAAAAAAAAAAAAAGCTGGGGATGTAGCACATGGTAGAGAATCACTGGGTTCATCTCCAGTACCTCCAAACAATTAACATAGTGTCTTCATCCAAATGTGGGACACTCAGTTTAATGCAGGGAAAGGCAGTAGTTTGAAGCAATAGTAGCATCTTTTAAATGCCAGTCCTCTAATTCAGTGGAACATTTTGCTTAACATTTGCTAAGTGTTAATAGGCCTTTATTAATTCTTATTTCCCAAGTCCCCAACTTTGCTTTTCCCTCAACGTGAGTTTTGATGACCCAGTGGGAAATATATATATTACCTCATCTGCTTTTTCAGCAAATATTTAGTAAGCAGTTACTATTACCCCAGCACTGGACATAAAGGAGCAAACTTACCCTGTTTTCCCATTCTGCTGTATAACTTTAGGTAGGTTACCTAACATCTCTGGAATTCACGATTGACTATGTGATCTCCATGTTTCCTTCCTGCTCACATATTTTGCAAAATCAGTTTCAGACCTCTTTCATTGATCATTATACCTTTCCATCTCTACCTTTCAATACAACTGCTGGAGTTCTGCTCCAACAATTAATTTTATAGACTTGACTAAATGAACTCAGAATTTCTTTTCTTTAAAAAATTTGTTCTTTCTAGTTATTCATGACAGTAGAATGCATTGATGAACTCAGAATTTCTATACCTGTTGTATTTTCCAACAAAGATTCCAACCACAGCATCAACAGGGAATAATGTGTCATAAGATATGATTAGAAACATGATTTTTATAGGAGGAAAAACTGATTAAAAATCACAAAATTCTATAGCCCAAGGGAAACTTTCGATCTTTCTGCTGGTAGTGCATGCCTATAATCCCAGTGACTTGGGAGGCAAAGAAAGGAAGATGGCAAGTTTGAGGCCAGCCTCAGCAATTTAGCGAGGACCTAAGCAATTTAGTGAGACTTTCTTTCTTCCTTCCTTCCTTCCTTCCCTTTCTTTCTTTCTTTTTCTTTTTCTTTTTCTTTTTTTTTTTTTTTTTTTGTGCGTGGGGGGGTGATTGAACCCAGGGGCACTTAAGCACTGAGTCACATCCCCAGCCCTTTTTGTATTTTATTTAGAGACAGGGTCTCACTGAGTTGCTTAGCGCTCACCATTGCTGAGGCTGTCTTTGAACTCATGACCCTCCTGCCTCAGCCTCCCAAGCCCCTGGGTTTACAGGCATGCACCACCACACCCAGCTAGACTTAGTTTTAAAATACAAAATAGAAAGGGCTGGGGATGTAGCTCAGTGGTAAAGTGCCTCTGGGTTCAATCCCCAGTACCCCCTAAATAAACGAAAGAGGAAGGGAGGGAGGAAAGAAAGAAGGGGGAGAGAGAAAAAGAAAAAAGGAAGAAAGAGAGGGAGAGAAAAAGAGAGCGCGCCCCTTCCTTCAACACCTGTGTTGTATACAGACCTTCAGATATCTTCCCTGCAAACTTTAGGGAACTTCAGCAAGAGCACCACCTAAAAAGCGTACAAGGACCCCCCCTCCCCAAACACGAGTTGTTGCACAGGAAAGATACAAAGTTGTATGCGATAAGTTTCGTCAAGGCCGGTACTTCCTCCCCCAATCCAGTCCACTGCACCCGGAGTCCAGGCTGAGCCTCGTCATCCCAGGAACCCGCCCAACCCGGCCCCGGGGTCTCAGCGTTGGGCGCCGCTGCGCAGAGGGCGCAGGAATCTCGGGCGGGCGAGGGTCTCACCGCAGTCCTTGTAATGCACCGGCTCGGCCTGGATGGTAGCGAAGAACGCCAGGAGCAGGATCGCTATAGCCAGGAAACCCATCGTGGATAACGAGGCGCCAAGCTCGAAATACGAAGTGGCTGCCGCGGTCACAAGATAAACTAGTCGGGGCGGGCGCGGGGAGGAGCCCAGTCAGGCGACCTGTCACCAGCAACCACTGCTGAGGTCCGCCTGCGGTCCGCCTGCGCCCCGCCCCGCTCCGCTCCAAGGAGCCGGGCCAGAAGGCAGCCCGCTGTCCCCGCCCATCTTGTCCTCTCAGAGGCGGGGCCGAGCGGCAATCAGCCCCGCTGCCCCCTGCCTGTCTCCTCAGGACTCCGCCCCGGTTCTACTGGTGCGGCCCCTCTTCCGCAATCGGGAGCATTTCTAGCCAATCAAACTTCTTCTACACGACCTAATAGGCACGATGGGGGCGGGTCTCATTGCGGCCACGCCCACTGACCGCCTTCCCGCCTCCTGAGCTCTAGGCGGAGGAGGGGAGAAGGGCGCACCGAGGGGCGGAGTTTGTTGGGGGAAGATGGCGGCCGCCAGGGGCCTGTCCCTAACGGCCACGGCCCTAAGAGCGGTCATTCCCTGGCGGAGGGGCAGGTACCAAGACTGGAAGGGTGTCAGGTTTTGCGCCTCCAGAGTAAATAAGAAACTAAAGCCCCCGGGGGAGGTGAGGGTTTGGCATGAGACGGTTCAGGTGGGGGTCGCCTGGGACCCTTTCTGCTCCCGGGCTCATCCTCCTCCCTTGCACCACAGGCTCTCCGCATCCTGTCCGGGACTTCAGACGCGTTGGGAGGCGTCATCTTCCAGCCCCGAGGCTAGCGAAGGGCAGATCCACCTTACAGACAGCTGCGTCCGGGTAAGAAGGCCAGCCAGACGCGGGGCGGCGGTGCCCAGCCAAGCTCTGGGACTCTCCTTTACTACCCTTTTACCACTGCTGGCTTGACATTTTTGATTCCTCTTATTGTATTTCAGAGGCTTCTGGAAATCACCGAAGGGTCAGAATTCCTCAGGCTGGAGGTGGAGGGAGGTGGATGCTCGGGATTCCAGTATAAATTTTCACTGGATACAGTTGTCAACCCCGACGACAGGCAAGGAGGAGGGGGCGGGTCCTCAGAATATGTGGGAGGGGAAAAAGTGACCAGTTTAAGGTGCAATTTTATTCCAGATTTAAAGGGCTTGTTAAGGACGATTAACGACCGCCCTTCTGACACTGTGAGGATGCAGTAAGATTGGTCGGCTTGATTCAAAATAACTAAATTGTAGAAGGAAAATTGGCCTGCTTAGTCCATGGGGTAATGGATAGTCAGGCTGGACTAGATTCCAGGCCCAAGTCCATATATATTTCCCAGTATTTATTCTTTTTGCTTCAAAGACAATCAGCACCTATTAAGAGGTAATAAGGAATCACCCGCTTTAGAATATGCACTTCTGGCCCTAGAGGGTATCCTGTTTTTGGTGTTTGTGGTATTCACTAATGCTTCCTCCTGTCTTTTCAGGGTATTCGAACAGGGTGGGGCAAGAGTTGTGGTTGATTCTGATAGCTTGGCCTTCGTAAAGGGGGCCCAGGTGGACTTCAGCCAAGAACTGATCCGAAGCTCTTTTCAAGTATTGAACAATCCTCAAGCAGAGCAAGGCTGCTCCTGTGGGTCATCCTTCTCTGTCAAACTTTGACTTGATGACTAGTGATCCAGAGATTGCCATCAGTTGTACCAATCTGAGGAACTGCGATTAGTAGAATTCTAGAAGTTTCCTTCTAATCATGTCCCTCTCTCAATTTTATTTTTCTTAATTCAGAAGTGTTGTGTTTTTCCACTATTATTTTCAGAATGTGAAGCTTTTACACTTGGCCTAAATTACTCCCCAGCTCCTATACAATGCTAAGGCCAAGCTTATAGATGTTGTTACCTCATATTTAATTACTAGTGTACTCTATAGAGCCTCCAATCCTCCAAAATTGGAGTTACTTTTCTAGCCTCCAGAATGTTTGAACATATATGTATAACAATGTATAAAAGCCTAAGTTTAAAGAAAGTCCTTAGAGTGTTTTGGATCAATTTTATAGATTGGGTAACTTGAACACTGATTACTAGGTCAGAACTGATGAGAAAGGCATATGAATTGTTATCTTTTTCATTTCACCCTTTCACACCCCCACCCCACCCACCTTCTGGGGCTTGAAACAGGAGTGCTCTACTGCTGAGCTACACCTCCAGCCCTTTTTGGTTTTTATATACATTTTTTTTCTCACTGAGTTATGCAGGTTCAACTTGAACTTACAATTCTCCTGCCTTAGCCTCCCAAGAAGCAGAGATTACAGGTATGTGCCACAAATTAGCTTCACATTTCACCCTTTATGAGTGTGCTACTGACATTTTCTTATTTTCTATGCAGCCCATTAACTACTTCCCATGTGATATTGTCATATTCACAGATCTGCTAGGATTTAAAAAAAACAAGAGCCATCCCCCATAAAACTTGGGACAAACTCTGGTACCTGAATAACTTGAAAAATAGACTCGATACTCTGTATTCATACAGACATTTCAAGATCTGTGACCATTTAGTAATCGAATCCTATTAGGATATGTTGCTTCATCTTCCTTATGGTATAAAATGTCTTTCTTATGCATAGTTGAAAGTGTAACTCCATTATGTAGCTAATAGAGGTCTTCTTGTTTTTTCCCAGTACTGGGGATTGAACCCAGGGGCACTTAACCATTGAGCCACATGCCCAGTTTTTTTTTTTTTTTTTTTTTTTTTGTTTTTTTAAATATTTTAGATACAGGGTCTCTGCTGAGGCTGGTTTTGAACTTACAATTTTCCTGCCTCAGCCTCCCAAGGTGCTGGGATTACAAGCATGCACCACCATGCCCAGTAATAGAAGTCTTTTTATTTTTTAAATATTTTAAAATTTGTTCTTGTTAGTTATACATGATAGTAGAGTATATTTTTGACATTATACACATATGAATTTAACTTCTCATTCTTCTGGTTGTACATGATGTAGAATTACATTGGTTGTGTAATCATATGTGTACATAGGACAGTAATGTCTGATTCATTCTACTATCTTTCCTATTCCCATTCCCCCTCCCTTCCCTTCATTTCTCTTTGTCTAATCTAGAGTACTTCTTTAATAGAGGTCTTTTTTAAGAGTGGGTTACCAATGAAATGCAAACTGCCTAGTTAAATTTGAATTTCAGATGAACAACAATTTTTTTAATATCATTTAATCTTTGTAATATAAGTATGTCTACTCTTTGTCTACAATACATAACATTTATGTGCTAAACATGGCAATCCTACTTTAGGGTGTCTAAATGAAAAGATTTTAAACCACAAATTCCAGTGCATTTTAAAGTATTTGTTTAGGTTTGCCTTTAAATGGGTTATGGAGGTTCAAATAATTCTATTATGATGCTAGGGGACCCAGAATAGTAAAGACAGAAAACTGAAAAAGAATTTGCACCACCATCATAACAAATAATTTTTTAAATTTTTTGGCACCTGGAGGCACTTTACCACTGAGCTACATCCCCAGTCCTTTTAATTTTTTATTTTGAGAAAGTCTTGTTAAGTTGCTAAGAGTCTTGCTAAATTTTCACTGTGGCCTCAAACTTGTGATCGTCTTGCATCAGCCTCCTGAATTGCTAGGATTACAGATGTGAATCACTGCATCCAGCTAACAGATAACTTTTTAATACTAATGTGGGGGAAACCACAATCAGGTTGATTCTGAGAGTTGTGATTAAATCCATCTTTCACTTAAAGTTTGTTATAGCAGAAACTTGAATCTCTGGACTAGATAGGAATTAAGGTCATTTGATATGAAAATTCATTATTAAAAATAGTGAAAATAAGGGCTAGGGTGGTGGCTCAGCAGTAGAGTGCTTGCCCTGGGTTTAATGTGAGGCCCTGGGTTTAATCCTCAGCACCACATAAAAATAAATAAATAAAATAAAGGTATTGTGTTCAACTACAACTAAAAAATAAATATTTAAAAAAATGAGGGGCTGGGGTTTTGGCTCAAGCTGTAGCGCACTCGCCTGGCATGCGTGCGGCCCGGGTTCGATCCTCAGCACCACATACAAACAAAGATGTTGTGTCCGCCGAAAACTAAAAAATAAATATTAAAATTCTCTCTCTCTCTCTCTCTCTCTAAAAAAAAATATTATTATTAAAAAAATGAGGGGCTGGGGATGTGGCTCAAGCGGTAGCGCGCTCGCCTGGCATGTGTGCGGCTCAGGTTGGATCCTCAGCACCACATACAAACAAAGATGTTGTGTCTGCCGAAAACTAAAAAAAAAAAATATTAAAAAAAAAATCAAAAAAATGAAAATAGAGTTTAGAAACAAAGTATCTGTGACTGAACCTTAGATACTTATGTGTGGGACAATCTAGGACATAGAGGGGGGAAAACTGTCACGTGGTTAGAGGAAAGAAGGGGACTCTTGGAAACTTAGCAGATCTTAGCAGTCTATGGAAGGTGGCAGGAAGGAACATACCATGAAGTGTCTGTGTACACAAGTTACTAAGACGCTGAGAATGAAGAGTTAAATTGCTGCCAATATTTGGGCCTAATAACATTTTCAATTCAGATTACTTAAGTACTTTCATCATCCTTAAAAAGAGATTTTGCTACATTTAAAGTGAAAAAATGAACCTTTCTTTCAGAACATTTTTTGGGGGGTACCAGGGATCGAACCCAGGGGCTCTTAACCAGAGCCACATTCCCATCCCTTTTTATTTTTTTGTTTGAGACAGGGTCTTGCTATGTGACTGAGGGTCTTACTGAGTTGCTGAGGTTGGTCTTGAACTTGTGATCCTCCTGCCTCAGCCTCCTGAGTTACTGGGATTACAGGTGTTCACCATTGAGCTGGCTATGAGTTATTTACTGCTTTAGTGGTTTAAAAACTCTTGAGCACAAGCATAACAGCTTTAGTTGCTAAATATATACTCCATTAAATTGCAGTGGTCAACTGGGCAGAAACTAGGTCTTTTAGACTGCAGAAGCCTATATGTGAGTGTCTACTATTAATGAAAGAAGTGGAATTTGGTGGTTAAAAAATGGTGGCTTCGGGAGAAATCACTTTACTTCACACTGACAATGCTTCATGGGGAAGCTGGAAGTGACCACAAGAAGTCTTTGTTGGAGTGGGGTGACTTAAGAACACAGGGCAAGGGGGAATGACATCAGCAAGGGGACACTGAGCCATTTGCTTGAACTACATAGCATGCTAAACAAATTTAGGCTCCTCTACAGGCCCTTTTTGACCAGTTGCCCTCTTCCTGGCAAGCCATAAGGGCTAACAAGATATTTTCACAAATTTTACTCACTGTATAAATTCATTTAGGAATCCTTTATATTTTCCCTTTGTCAATGGAAAGATCTTTGGTTTTACCTGTTCTTCCAAGAGGAGGTTGTCAAGAACTTATTTGTTATGAAATTGAGTTTATTTAACTTTGTATCCAAGTGCTGGGCATCATGGGCCATCTCCTGCCCCTCCCACACCCTCTTGTTTTTGAGTGCTGGGAATTAAACCCAGGGCTTCATGCATGCTAGGCAATACTCACCTTGTCTTTTCTTTAGCAAACACCATACTAATGCAAGAACCAAAGAAGACAAAGGGAGATTACCAGGCATGGTGTTTCATGTATGTAATCCCAGTGACATGGGAGGCTGAGATGGGAGGATTGCAAGTTTTTAAGGTCAGCCTCAGCAACTTAGTGAAATCCTGTCTCAAAAAAGACTGGGGGTATAACCCAGTGGTAGAGCACCCCTGGGTTAAATTTCCAGTACAAAAAAAAAAAAAAAAAAAACAGGGAACTCTTCAGTCTGCTTTATGTTTTGGTTCAAAACTTAGGGTCTCTTCATTGATTTTATTATGGAATCACGTTCTTCAGTTATGTAGTGATAGTGACTATATGTAAACTATATACTATATGTGTCCACCTACTTTCTTTTTATGGGAATGTTGACTGAATTCAAGGGATGAAGAGGAAAACTGTTCAGAAGTAAGAGATTGGGAAGAACTGTTAAAGTAAGTGTCCTGAAATACTTTCTTCTGAGAATTGCATCCTGTTCTATTGTTAGGAAGCATCAGCGTGGAGGACCAACATTTGGCAGGAGCAACCAGGTGTACCAAATAGTATAGCCCTCTCTAGAACCTGGCCTTTGGCAGGGCCTACCACCGTCCATTTGAACATTATGGTTTTGCATGTTTGTCTAAAAGGCAGGAAGCTTCGTTTTACTTTTCTTGATGTTTGAGATTGATGTTTATAATTGTTTTCTTAAAATCCATGTTTTCTTTTCAACAGGGTTGCTTAAGGGAAGTTTGCTTTAAGGAATTTTGAAATAATCATCACCTGACTTTAATTGTAAACTACAGTCAGATAAATAATATAAAGGGAGAGGACATTTAAGCAGTCTGTGGTCAGCAGCTTTATTTAAAAATATTTATTTTTGATAAGTAGTACATGTACAAATTCAAAAAGACACAAAAGGGGTTTAGTGGAAAGTGTTCCATTATGGTACCTGTCCACCCTGTCACCCTCCCCACAACCACCATTGTTTCTAAGAATTTATTCCAGAGATATAATCCCATAGATAAAACATGAAATAACATGTGACCAAGGATATTCATTACAGCATTTTTAGTAAAAGATGGGAAACAATGGAACTATCTTTTGATGAGTCAGTGATTAATTATGGTTTATCCATTCAATGGAATAGTATTCAGCTATAAAATAGAATCAGACAGGTATTTATTTGCAAGCATAAAGTGGAAAAAAGCAAAGTGCAGAACAGCATACATAATATGCCATTTGAAATTTTAATAAGGAAATGTGACTGTATGCATTCAATATGTCTACTAGGACAAGAGAGAAAGGTTGGAGGGCAGTGGGAACAGCATTTAGGAGCACAGTGCCAACAGAGTGTATTTGAGGAATGGTAAAAAGTTCTCTGAATGATGGGGTGTAAGGTGGAGTGGCAAGGATGAAGTAACAGCTATCCACTTCTCTTGTCTCTGTAGATAAATAGGATGTTACATGCTAATAAATAACCTCCCTTTTTCCTGGGTATCTTTCTTATCAAGGCAATTTGTTTTATTTTTAGGGTTCTGTAGAAATTGTTTCTAATCTTTTGCTATTACAAATAGTGCTGTAATAAATAACCTCTTACATAAGTCATTTCACATTTGGTGAGAATATATCTTGAAACTTAAATTCCTAGAAGTGGAATTACTGAATCAAAGAGTTAGTGCTATTATGTAATTTTGAAAGACACTGCCATATTGTCCTCTTCAGAGGTTGTACCAATTTATACTTCCATCAGCTATCATGGTGTGTTTCTCCAGATGCTTGCCAGCTAGGAATCTTAACAACTTTTTTGATCTTTGCCAATATTTGTAAAACAGTATTTCACTGCATTTTCAGTTTCTTTTATTATAAAGGAAAGACTGCTTTCACATGTTTAAGAACCATTTATTTTTGTTTTGTTTAAATCAACTAGAATAATGATCTAGAGCAGATCTAAGTTTTTCTGTCTCAATTTCCTCACCTGTAAATTGGGAATAAAAATAGTAGGTAGCATTGTTAGATGATTAAGTGAAATTTATGCACAGCACTCAACACAGTGCCTGCATGTGGCAAGCATTCAATAAATTATTGTGTGATAGCCGACAATCAGAGCAGCAGGTAGGACAGACAGATTAAATTAAGAAAGTAGCATTCATTTCCATGTCTCCCATCACAGGCAGCCTTGTTCATTTAGATTGCCATTCATAGAGAAATGCAGTCAAGAGTTGTCCTTGGCTTGGAATCGTAAGAACCTTTCCCATTGAAACCTATTGATAGGGTTTTTCCAGAGCTGGCCATCAGGGGTAGGCACAGTCTCAGATCTAACATTTTGATTTAACCAACATGATAAAGTTCCATGGTTTTGAACTCACAGCTAGCCCAGGATGGAGTGAGTTTCTACCTGCAAACTTAGGGATTCTGGACATTCATTTTCTGAAGGGGAAGAGGCGAAGGGGCCTCTGAGTGGGGGTGGGGCAAACATTTGGAAATCTGGTTTCTGCTGAACAAGACCACACTAGAAAATAAACCTTTTTATTGTTAGAAAATTTAACTGATTTTCACAAAAAGAGAGTCCTGAAGAGATTTGTTTTCTGGAAGAAGCATATGTATTTAATAAAGGTCTTTGGAGGTGGATCTTCTGTCTTGGGGCAGCCCTTGCTGCTGGTGCACAGGAGCTATCACTGGGTGGATTTTGAATATTTATTTACTCCAGACTACTCTTTAGACTTCCAGTGAAGCCTTGGCTCCCCCTTCTGTATTGACTCTCATATTTCCCATATTGCTCTCCTGGAGACTTCTCGGGATCTTTGCCCCTCTTCATTTGTGTCTCCTACACTTGGCAAGCTAATGCCAGTCTTGCTTCTTTGAGATGAGGGTATCTTCTTCCCCTCCTTGGGGCCACAGAACTGGCTACAGGATGGAGTTGTGGCAAATTCAGGGCCTAGAGCAGGTGGCTAGGTGGAGGTGATAGCTTCAAGAGGGGGCACTAGAGTCATCCCTCAAACTCTCCCAAACCCTTTCTAGTCCCACAGATTCTGAAGGACCATTCAGGGCAGATGTGGCCTCTGTCCCAGTTGTAGAATCATCAGTTGATATGTGGATCATGGCTGAAAAGGGGTGTCTGCAGTGTGAGGCCATGAGACCTTGCATGTTTGCATAGCCTGGGGTTGAGAGATGAATGACAGCTGTCCTTTGACAAGTATCCCATAGCAAGGCCAAGATAGATGGTGTGCTGGGCCTCAGGCCAGTGGCTGAAGCATTAAAGTGGTGGTGTTTGAGCCAAGCAAGGGCATGGAGGCAGTGGTGGAAGCTCACAGCCAAAGCCTAAGCTGGGAGAGATGAAAGCAGGCAAGGCTGTCAGACCCGGGCAGAGGGCCCCAGCCTGATATCATGGTGTTGTCCCAGCTAGGAAAGCATCCTCAAGGCCTCTGCCTGTGGCAGGAGGCCATTTCCAGGTAGCTGCCCACACTGACCCTTCACTGCAACTCCTTAGCAGCACAGTGTGGGGGGTCTGCCTCTGCCACATATCCTGGGGAACAGTGGCAACGGTAGGAACCCTCT